ACAAAAATGTAAACAAGACACAAAATCACGCAATTAATTCTTAAGTATCAAATAATAAAAGAAAGAAAATCCTAATTTTTTTATGAATTTTATAGGAGTAATTTAAGCGAAGCAAAAATCACGTGCTCACAGGCCTCGTTGTCAGTCAATTTCACAGTTCTAATAGATTATCTAACTATATTGCCTGTGGGTGGCTTCAATATGATGCCAAGTCCAAACCCTTTTGCGTTTGAGGCACCGTCCGTAAAGAGGGTCCATATTCCCGAAGACATCCCCGAGTTTACTAACAACTCTTTTCGACCTCAGGTATTAGGGCCAGCATAAAGTCGGCCACAAAATCTGCCAAATTTTGACACTTAATGGTTGTCTGGGGTCGATACTCGATATCGTACCCGTTGATTTCCACGGCCCATTTGGCCAATCGTCCCAAGAGTTCGGGTTTATGCATTATATTCCGCAGTGGGTAAGTAGTCACAACACATATAGGATGGCACTGGAAATATGATTTCAGTTTCCTAGAGGTGCTTAGCAAAGCGAGCGCCAATTTTTCTAGGTGAGGGTACCTAGTTTCGGCCTAACCTAGGGTCCTGTAACATAGCAAATTGGAAATTGCGTACCTTGTTCTTCCGGGACCAAGACTCCACTTACCGCTATCTCTGATACTGCCAAGTACAGGTATAGTTATTCGTCTGCGTTCGGTGTGTGAAGCAGCAGTGGGCTCAATAGATACCTCTTGAGTTCCTCCAAGGCCCGTTGACACTCCGGGGTCCACGAAAAGTTGTTCTTCTTCTTTAGTAGCAAAAAGAATCGGTGACTCTTATCTGAGGATCTTGAGATGAGTCGCCCCAGGGCGGCTATGCGCCCCATTAATCTTTGTACGGCCTTCACATTGTCCACGACCATGATATCTCCGATGGCTTTTATCTTTTCGGGGTTGATCTCGATTCCCCGATTGGATACCATGAACCCGAGTAATTTACCTGATCCGACTCTGAACGCACATTTCTCCGGGTTCAGCTTCATATTGTACTTCTTCAACATGCTGAAGGTTTCCTGCAGATGCTTTAAATGGTCCTCTGTTCGCAGGGACTTAACCAACATATCGTCAATGTAAACTTCCATTGATTTCCCTATTTGTTCTTCGAACGTCCGATTTACTAGGCGTTGATAAGTGGCATCGGCGTTTTTTAACCCGAATGGAATCACGTTATAGCAGTATGTGTCATACTTAGTGATAAAGGAGGTTTTTTCCTGATCATCCGGGTTCATCCGTATTTGGTTGTACCTGGAATAGGCGTCAAGAAAACTAAGGATCTCGTGGCTGGCCGTGGCATCGATCATGCAATCGATATTAGGCAAAGGGAAAGAGTCCTTGGGACACGCCTTATTCAAATCTTTATAGTCCACACACATTCTTAATTTGTTCCCCTTTTTAGGGACTACTACTACGTTTGCTAACAAATCCGGGTATTTTACCTCCCGAATGGACCTTATTTTAAGGAGTTTAGATACCTCGTCCTTGATGAAAGCATGTTTAATTTCGGACTGGGGTTTCCTTTTCTACTTGACCGGGTGGAATTTCGGGTCTAGGCTCAACTTGTGATTGGTTATCTCCGGTGGATCCCTATCATATCAAGATGGGACCAAGCGAAACAATTTATGTTAGCTATAAGAAATTGAATGAGTTCTGAGCTCGAGGGTTAACCCCGTGCCCAGGTATGCCTTCCGATCGGGTAGACGTTCGATCAATGTGACTTGTTCCAGCTCCTCGATCGTTGATTTGGTGGCGTCGGAATCATCGGGGACTATAAAAGATCTGGGAACCCCGTAATCATCGTCTTCATCAGTCCCCTGTTTATCCGATTGGGTCGTGGCCGGTATCGATAATTTCTATTTAGCCTCTTGTTTTTTTATCCAAACTCGGTTCCTTTGATGTTTCCAGTGTTGATACCGGGATCACTTCTTCGACTGCAAACATTTTCTTTGCGGCCGGTTGCTCCCCGTAGATTGTTTTGATCCCTCCCGGGGTTGGGAATTTTAACACTTGGTGAAGAGTCGAGGGTACTACCCTCATGTTGTGGATTCATGGCCTCCTGAACACCGCGTTGTACCTCATGTCTCCTTCGATCACATAAAACTTGGTTTCCTGGATGGTCCCGGCGGTATTCACCAGCAATGTTATCTCTCCCTTAATGGTTTTGCATGCCATGTTGAATCCGTTTAGAACTCGGACTGCAGGCACGACTTGATCTTGTAGGCCGAGCTGTTCTACGACCCTCGAGCGGATGATGTTGGTCGAGCTACCTGGATAAATTAACACATGCTTAACTCGAGATTTATTTATGAGTACAGATATTACCAGTGCATCATTGTGAGGCTGCATGATCCCTTCTGCGTCCTCGTCGTTGAAAGACAAGGTTCCTTCTGGTATGTAATCTCGAGTCCGTTTTCCCCTTGTAATGGACACTTTGGTGTGCTTCAACATCGGCCCTTGAGGGGCATCGGCTCCATCGATGATCATGTTAATGACGTGTTGAGGTTCTACTGGTTCGGTCTGTTTGTTAGATCCCTATTTCTAAAATGATTCTTGGATCGGTTGCTCAAAAATTCTCGAAGGTACCCGTTGTTGAACAATTGGGCTACTTCCTCTCTTAACTGTCGGCAACCTCTGTCCCGTGGCCATGAGTTCCATGATATATGCACATTTGGTCAGGAACCCTTTGGGTTGGATCGGATTGTAAAAGGTCGAGGCCATTTGGTATGTTTGATGCGTCTGATAGCTGATACGATGGCAGCCGCATCAACATTAAAGTTATATTCCGATAACCTTGGTGCTTCTTTAGGACCGATAGACCTGTGGAAGCCGTTCTTGCTCATGAGTCCTCGAGTGCTATGACCTCGATCATTTCTCCTTTAATTCCGTATAGAACTTCGCCCGGACCCACTGCTTCTCCGATCTCCATTATACTGCTGGTATTGATCTCTGTTTGACCTCGGTTCATGGTCGATATCACTCTTTATTCTATCGACCGGTCTGACAGGGTAAACGGACCCGGAAGGAGCCCCAAGTTGATCATCTTCGACTCTGATTTTTGATTGATATCGGTTATGCGCATCGGCCCAAATAACAGCCAGGTACTCTATCTGATTCTGCTTCAACTGCTGTGAAGCCACCGAGCTTCGAACATTGAGTCCTTGGGTGAAAGCTTGAACAACCTAATCATCAACGACCGGTGGCAGGTCCATCCGTTCCATTTGAAACCGGGACACGAACTCTCTAAGCATCTATTATCCTTCTGTCTTACTTTGAAGATGTCTAACCTCCTGGTCTCGACCTTGATAGCCCCGGCGTGTGCTTTCACGAGAGAGTCTGCAAGCATAGCAAATGAGTCAATAGAATTAGGAGGTAAGTTGTGATACCATATCATAGCTCTCTTTGACAGGGTCTCTCCGAATTTCTTCAAAAAACAGACTCGATCTCATCATCCTCCAAGTCATTCCCTTTGATGGCGTATGTGTAGGAAGTGACATGCTCATTTGGGTCGGTCGTCCCGTCATACTTAGGAATCTCAGGCATACGGAATTTTTTAGGGATATGTTTCGAGGCCGCACTCGGAGGGAAAGGTTTTTGCACGAACTTCTTGGAATCCAAGCCTTTCAGTACCGGCGGTGCTCCCGGGATTTGGTCGACCCTGGAATTGTAGGTTTCTACCTTCTTGTCATTTGCCTCGATTTTCTTTTCCCCTGATTCTATCCGTTTTGTCAGCTCCTCGAGCATTCTTATGATCTCGGGGTTAGTCCCCAACTCATCTCCATTCAATCTCTCCGCGACCGGTTCTTCTCTACGGGTGATTTCTCGGGACGAATCAGGTTCAATTCTGCTTGGTGTGCGGCTTTGATTTTGTAACTGAGTTATCGCCGCCTTTTGAGCTTGTAACATTTCGAAGATCATCCGCAAATTGATCCTGTCTCCTCCATTGTTCTGAGTATTCTACGCTGTCGATCAGGCTCCGCGAAGGATGCTATTTTCGGGGTCGGTAGGCAGGTTTGTGTCGATAGCCACATGCGAGTTAGCGTCCAACGGGTCCGCGGCTGGAATTCCGATGGGATCAGCGGGTGGTACCTCGTTACCGCGCGTTATGTTGTTATTTTTACCGTGGTGACCGGACTCATTGTTAGGAGGTAGGGGTCCCAACTGTGAGTTTGACATTTTGAGCTTTAACCTGAAATTAGAGACACTTCAAAGAATAAGTGTAAAATAGTGTGTGTTATGGAAATTTGTATCAAATAACCACTATTATTCTTGGCCCCGGTGGGCGCCAAACTGTTTACCCTCAAAATCGGATAACAGTTAAATTTGTAAATTTAAGGATAAGTGAATTAAATTGATACAAAGCGATAAATTGAATTGTAATCAAAGCGAACAATGATAAAATAAATTAAAACCGTACAACTTGAACAGTAATCTTGAAAAGTAAGTCTCCCTTGAACTGGATGCAATTCAAACGATAGCATATACGGAAAAACAATAGCTTGCAGAAAGAAAATAATATTATATTGCATTGGGATGTGTGGAACAATGTGTTTTACAAATAATTAGGCCCCTTCATATAGTAGGGGAGTCATACTTTAGGTACAATCTATAAAAGGTAAAAAATCTCATGATCTGCTAATTAGCCGGTTTCTCATTGATACGTGCCGTGATTCCCGCCGTGATACCCGACTGGTTACGAATGTTTCGCCTTCCGTTATTCGGTCTGGCAATATTTCCACGAGCTCATTCGAGGTCAGGGTTAATTCCGGAATCATGGATTCGATGTTATCGAGGACGGGCATTCTAACCTCATATCTTGGTTTGATGGAACCCGGGGCCAATCTTCAACCCATCACGTTTCAATCCCGATTTGTCGTACAATGACGAGCCCGATTTCGAGCGTATACACATGTACTTGAAGCTACAATAGTTGTAAGCTCAAGTGTTGATGCAGCTTACTAAAAGCTTTACACGAAAATAGTTACTACATAAGTTGATGAATTGGTACTTCTCGGTCGGAAATGTCAAAAGGAAACCATAGAAAGCTATCAAGATTATACAACTTTGACCTATCCTTCCCATCTAAATGTACATACAAGGAGGGGATTGAAGATCTATTGCAATATACAACAACATATACTTAAGAAGCTAATCATGTCAAGGTCTAATATAGGTTAGAAGCTAGTTATATAAACGTGTGATCGGCTAATAAGAAGGACCTTCAGGACCCCTACATCCATAAGAAGTCAACAAGAATGCACCAGCAGAATGCTGAAAATTTGCTGGTGGTTCATTTCAGCCGATTGAGAGGTGCTGGACTTGGAGTAATCGTAATTTAGCTACTGGTCCGAGTTAGGCTTGGATTCAAAGAATTTGGATACAGCTTGATAAAGATTCTCTTCCTCAAATGGTTTTGAGACGTAACCATCCATCCCACACTTGAGGCATTTCTCTAATGTGGCATGAATTACATCGGCGGTCATGGCTAATATTGGCATGTGCCACCTGTGCCCTTTTGTAGCTTCATCACAGTTCAATCCTCCATTCAGCTGTTCATTTGCAGCGCCCTCTAGATCCCGAATTCGACGTGTAGCCTCAAACCTGCAATTTCAAATGAGTTAGATAATTTGACCTTTGTTCTTTTATTTCTCTGAAAGTTCAGCGTTCAGGTACTCTTCTTTTACCCTTGGTACAAAAGCACATTGTCCTAGAACAATCTTTTCATTTAGTAAAACCTGTTTTCCTACTGGAAATGCAGTTTGAATTTCACTGAATCTCAACACACAAAATTGTAGTTTTGAACAAAGAGGTGTACAAATGAATGAAATATAGCATTTCCCTTTCCAGTTAAAAGCAATCGACATTACTGTTTTGGCAAGGAGGCAGACATGAACCATACACTAGCACAAGTTTCTAAGAAGTTTATACAGCTGTGACAGATAAAGTAGCTATGCAGATGTTGACGCTAGGCGTGGACAATATGTACACATATTGATCATCTCTGTTGCTATGTACACAACAAAGAGCACCAAATTTCTGGTTAAAAAACATACTACACCGTGAAGGTTCCCAGGCAAAAGACCGAGAGCATGTTTGTGGGGGTATTCCTAGATTTTGGAACTCTCAAATGATAGCAACCATCCGAGGTTAGGGTAAAAACCTATCATGCTGATTTTAGTTTTAAGCCCATGGAAATAATCTTTGAGTTTCCAACTTTGACTCAATCAAACAATTGTCTCCCGGATTATTATGCTCAAACTCTTGACGTAAGCATCACAAAATAATAGGCCAAACCTTTTCCTTGAGGCATTACTGACCATACAAGAGCTTCTCTTTTGTCAGTTCAGAAGAGATTTTACTGTGAGACACAGAGTGCAAAGTAATAAAAATAGCAAACAAACTGAATTTAAGTGGAACCACTATGAAGAACATCACTAGATAAGGACAAACCAAAAGTGTAGCACATACCCATCCATTTCTGGCATCTGAATATCCATAAAGCAAGCATCAAAATTGTGTGGTAACTGAAGCAATGAAAGAGCAGCTTTCCCACTTTCAGCACACTCTACGTCAGCCCCAAATTTTTTGAGCGCACCAGCAGCAACTCTGCGATTTACTCTATTATCATCTACCACCAAAATTTTCTTACCACACAATAGGCCACGAAGGGAAGATCCATTGCACATATCTTTTCCCTGGCTCTTGTTGCCCATTCCAATTAGCTGCTTAAGGCATGCAGCCATCATACTTGCTCTAAGAGGTTTCATTATCACCGCAAAACCTACTGCTTTAGCCTTTTCATCTTCAGTGTTGGTGATACTAGTCGCCAGGAGGATCATCTTTGGTGACTTGTACACGTGTCCATTTGGTTTGATGCATGGCAAGTGTGAATTTAAGTCAACATCTTCAGATATCCACAAGTCCTTCTCGACCAAAATCATGTCCAGCTTCCTGTCACTGAGGCAAGATACAAATGTTTATTTAATTAATGCATTCAGTCAAAATCACATATCCCATGTAACATTTCTGGACTATTCAGTTCGTTGTTTTTTCCTTCGAGGGAATAGCTTCATCTTTGTTTAGGCTATTCTCCAATAAATTTAAACATCTAGCTAAGCGCTCCTCAAATCCTCATGCAGGGAACTGAATAAGAAAACTCTGGTATTCTATTGGCATTACAAAGATCATCATTTGAGAAATGACAGATTTGGACATATTTCTACATCTAGATATCTTCCTCTATGTTGCTTTATTCAACAACATACTTTAGGTGATAATAGTTGGCTGGGAAAGTATGCAGAATAACAAGAATGAAATAATACTAGTAAATACGTTTCTGAAAACTTAGATAAGCGAACACATTTACTTTAATTGGTGAAACAGAAAGAAAATCAAACCCCAGTATTTATCGGTCCTGAAGCAAATGTCTTTTGTTATTAATTATGTGGAAATTGACCTCCTTTTTCTCCTTTTCTTGTTGATCAATATAAACCCAGTAAAAATAAAATTCCATTTTCATTAAACAAGATCACAGAGGGCCTACAATGGTCAAACGCATTAGCTTAGACTCAGTCTAAGATATCAACAATGATAGTAATATGTCCTTGACGGCGTCGAGGTACGATTAATCTAAGTAATAGTCTAATAGTTGCTTGCAGTTCTGAATCGCTTATACAGTATAGAAAGCAATAAGAAGTTCGGCAAAGGATGAAAAACTTACTTGGAAACAAAAGAACCGTTTCTCCCAAGAGCGGCAGCTACTTTCTTGATGCTACTGACAACTTCCGCCCGAATACCAAGTCTTTTCAGATGGTATCCTGTTACAGCGGCTCTTACAGGCTTTCCATCAACAACAATAGCATTTAGTCCTTTAAATGAAGTAGGCAATTCATCATAATGAGGTTTTTTCAGATCGCCAACAGAATATTTCTCACATCTTAGGAAGTTAACAGTGAAAGAAAATGTGCTTCCAATCTGAGGACGGCTAATGAAACTTATTTGACCACCCATCAGCTCGACGAGACACTTGCTAATGCTTAATCCAATACCCGTTCCTCCATAGTTTCTAGAGGTTGAACTGTCTGCCTGCATAAATGGCGTGAAAACTCGATCTTGTGCTTTCAAAGGGATCCCAATCCCCGTATCCTCAACACAAAACATTAGAGTGACACTCTGAGAGTGATCATCATTGGCCACCTTACTTGCAGATTCATAATGCGAACCATTGCTAGCAACTATATGCTTGTAGGTGTCCCAAGTATTCTGGCTGTCAGCAACTTCATAACCACTTAAGGTTTCATAATGATAACCACTAGAAGAAATTACATTTTCAGATAATCCATCCAAGCAGGTATCCTTTTTCCCACCATCTTTTGTTTGTTCAGCCAGATGAACTTGAACAAATATATGACCTTGTTCAGTGAACTGTCAAAGAAAAAATATATCGGTTATACCAATTGAAGTAAACACAAATTGCTCATAAAAAAGAAGAATATCTATCTCTCTTCAGCCTCTTCTTTTCTGTACAAAGAAGGTAAATCTTATTTTTCTTATCACTTTCTCATTCCACCAATTAAAGGCAAATATTTTAATTTATTTCTCCATTTCTCTATTTTGCCTCGTTTCTATTTCCCCTTCCTTTCTTTCTACTTCACAGCTTCTGAGAAAGTTCGAGGAGGCACTAGTGCCAGGGATGAGAGAAGATTGGCTGTTTTACTTACTTTGACCGAATTGCCGACCAGATTTGTTATCACTTGTCTGAATCTTCCAGGATCCCCCAAAACAATTTCAGGCACTTTATCAGAAACAAAGACGGCCAACTTCAGTTCCCAAGAAATCGTGCAGTGTAAGGAAGAAGCACCGTGGGCAATTGAAATCCAGAGGCAACAGGTTGTGGAAGCAGAGAAAACAGAACAAGAGCAAGAAATTAGTATACGAATATTTATATGCATAAACTAATGGACAGCAGCAATAAATTACTTCGTGAAAGGATATCTTAAATCTTCAAGTACCTACCTCAACACCTTTGCGCCTGGACTCATCAGAGAATAAAGATAGAACATCATCTATTATCGAGCGAAGGTCAAATGGAACTGCCTCAAGTTCTAACTTGCCAGCTTCAATTTTGGCCCGATCAAGCACTTCATTTATCAATGTTATCAGTGATTTTCCACAAGCCTGAGCAGTTTGAGCATAATCTCTTTGAGTTGAATTCAGATTTGTATCTAGGAGCAGAGCAAGCATTCCTGAGGTCACAATGAAACAGATGGAGTTTAAGAGGTAGGTAGTGTAATTAATTAAATTGCTGTTGAGAATCTTGAGATAATTTTGCATATCAGTATTAGAAATAGCACCATACCGTACCTAGGATCCCATTCATAGGAGTTCTTATTTCATGTGAAACAGTAGCCAAGAACTGCGTTTTGCCAAAACAAAAAAAAAATTGCATGTCAACCTCCCAAAGATCAACGAAACGTAATAAAGAATCTCAAAACGTGGAAAAGATATTAAAAGAACCTGGGATTTGGCAACATCAGCTGCTTCAGCTTGAACCTTTAGTTCCTGCATTTTATGAAAATCATCCTCTACTTTATTAATGTGGCTTGCGGATTTGTAACCCGTGTAGCCAATTAAGAGGAAGATGATAAAAATAAATACTGCAGTGGTCACTGCTCCCCGAGATATAGGAGCCTCATGAAGATACCTGCAAATGCACAAACATACTAAGGATCCATGTCGTCGAAGTTTAAGTTTTCTTACATGGCGCAATTGCTACCAAGTCAAGGAAGGATGAGCACTTACCTACAAATCATCTCATGCTTACGAAATGGATCACCGAAATCAAGCTTGCTAACATGCTTTAGTGTGGGATCACCATTTGGGTTCTGGTGTCCGTACATGATTAAAGGATCAGAAGAGTTTGTAACATCATAGACATTTACAATAATCGGATGATTTGCAGCAAGTTGCCCAAGTAGACACTCAACGAGAGACTCAACATCAAAGGCTCCACCAAGATACCTGCTTTCAGTTAAGCATATGATAGCTTCAATTTCAGAGACGTGGAAAACAAAAATTTAGAAGACAAGCAGGATTCTGGTAACAAGTACTCATTATCATGAGATGTGCTAAAACATTAGATATAACTAAGCCAATCGGAAAAGCTTTATCTTAATCAACAATCTATTCAACAAAGATTAGCTCCTCCTTTGATTGTGAAGATTAATATAAAATGAGAATAAGTAGATAATATAGGCACAGAAAGATCCACTTGAGAAGAAGCGAGCTCCTCTCTTTAGACCAGATCCAGTGGCCCTCACGATGGACCAAACCCAGTGGCCCTCGCGACGCTTGGCCATCGCGAGAACATTGCGAGAAGGGTTGGCCAGGCCAAGACCCTTCCTCGCTCGGGGGCTCGCGATATAGAGAGTTTTCTGTAAAGGGACTGGGGAATTCTTTATCCAGAACAAGGGCCCTCGCAACGCCCAGGCTAATCCTTCTTGCGACATGAGCCTGCCACGAAGGGCACCTGGAGCTTCTTCCTTGCTTTCTTTTCCAACTTTGACATATTCAAACCCCAATGCCAAGTTCGTACACTTCCACAGTATGCTCCACATATACCCCCAAGGAATAAAATGAATAGTCCCTTTTATGTGGCTAGCACGAATAGGCCTTCGCCTATAAATCCTTAAGAATTTAAACAAAGCTACATAAATTTCCATTAACCGGTTTGTGGGAGCGAGAAGCAGAAGAAACAAAAAACGCTAAGTTTAAGACTAAAAATGATGACTGGAATTAGGCGCCATATTTGACCATGGAACGTTTCTAAAGCAAAAAGATGACAAAAAAATATCTTGAGACTACCGAGCATGCGAGAACACATCCAAACGGAATACGTCATTGGCACAAGCTTACCCTGCAGTGGCTTCAACCCGTTCATGCTCAGTCGGGTTTTGCGGAAGCTTGGATTTGTAAACAGGGAATGTCAAAACAACACCAAGGTGATGAGAACCCAGAAGCCGGAAGGGACTAGTAAGAACTGCCTTCCCACTGGCCCTAGCTCTCATGATATTTTCACGGTCCTCCTGAATAAACCAACAAAAGAACAAGTCCAACAATATAAGCTAGAAGAACCAATAAGAAGTTAAAATTCCGTATAAGTTTTGAAACTAATTCAATTACCTCTCCTGACATCATGTCAAGTGATTCTATGTAGGACACAGTTTCTTGAGAAAATATAACTGGAGAATACTCATCTCTGATAGGTGAAGCCTCTCTTTCCATTGTTTTAATAGTCCATCCATGTTGTCTCTCAAATTCTTCCCTCTCTGAATGTAAAACTCTCTCTGCATACGCCACCCCACTTAATAGTGGCCTCTCAAATGCTGTTCTAGCAGTGTACTCAGCAAAGGTTTTCTACATTATTAGTAAAGAGAATCAGAGTCCAAAATGGAGCAAAACAAATATTAAGAATTCATATAGCTTACACTAATTAGTTTAGGATTAAGGGGCACTTGTTCATGTCATTGTTAAAAGATTGAATCGGTGCACTAAGCTCCCGCTATGCGCGGGTGACGGGAAGGACCGGACCACAAGGGTCTATTGTATGCAGCGTTGCCATGCAGAAATGCAGGGAGCTGTTCCCGCGGCTCGAACCCATCACCTCTTGGCCACATGGCAACAACTTTACCAGTTACGCTACCAAAAAAAATATTCATATGAAGCAATACACCAAGACCAAACAAGAATCAAATTACAACAACAACAACAACAACAAACCCAACGAAATCTCACAAGTAGGGTCTGGGGAGGGTAATGTCTATTTCAAACAAGAATCAAATTATTCTCATTAAATCAATAAATTTCAGAACTTTTTTCACTCCAAGAATGAGAAATTAAGACTTCTGAGGAGCACAAACCTGATCAATTGCAGATGGATTCTTCTCATAATGGAAAGTCGAGACAAGAATGGCAAGGGCATGAACATGGTTAACACTAACACTGAATTGATCTTGTAACATTCTTGCCCTTTGATCACACATACTCACTAACCCTTCTTTTCTTTTCTCCTTCTGATTAGCATCCATAGAAAAGTACACACAAATGCTAAAAACCATACAACAAATAATCCAAAAAGCAAAAAGTTTTGGAAGCAAAAACTGAGAAGGCACAAATCTGTGCTTTCTCTTTGAGTCAAATTGCTCATTCACCTTCACAGCTACCATGTGGTGGTTTTGCATTTTCTCACCCATCACCACAAACACTACAAAAAAATTTCTTGTACTTTCAAAACTTTACCAATTTATCTATCAGTTAGAAACCAGAAAAGATACAAGAGAACAACCCCATTTAAAGAAATGAGCTAAAAATCATTGCTTTCTGCAAAAGGACAAGCAGTTTTTTGGAGCTCTAACTTTTTGAATCATAGGAAAAAAGCAATTTTTTTCCTAACAAATGTGTTAAAGATCATTGATTTGTGTGATCAAATTATCAGATACTGTAAAAAGGCAAAAAAAACCACCAAGAAAAATGAACAAACAAATCATTTCCCTCCACCCCCACCAACACCCCCAACCCCACCCTACCCCCTCACTCCTCTTTCTCTCTCCTCACACATACACTTTCATGAGAATGGAAAGAAGAGAAACCCAAGAAAAAGATAGAAATTTTTTTCTATTTTCTCATAATAATTCCCACCTCATGGAAGAAACAAAGCATGGCTTGACTGCAGTCCTAAAAAGATGAACAAAAATCCCAAATTCCAAGAACTCAACACTGCTACTGTGTCTGTCTTTTTTTTCTTTTTTACTTCAATGGGGTTTTGGATATATGGAATAAAAAATGATAATAGCATTCCAATCTAATCATGTGCCTTTTTTTTTCTATCTTGGTTCAATGCAAGCGTGGTGTTAAGTTGAAGAATCTAGACAAATGAAGAGCATGTTCTCATTGTTTTGCTGTTCTGTTTAATATACAACATAAAATATAAAATATTACAGTCCAACTGAACTCAGAGAAACAAGAGACTAGCAGTAGGCAGTAGCCAACTAAGCACAAACAAACAAAAGAAATTAACCAAGAAAGAGAAAAGAGAAGAATATAGAAGACCTTCTTTTTCAATATTTAAAACAGACAACTGAAATATTATAACAAGTGAATGGATTTAAGTAACTGATGTATAACAATACTAATTGATTCTTTTTATGTAGCACAAATTTAAGAAAAAAAGTATCTTAGGTTTTGAATTTTGTGGTATTAATTATGTCTTGACATTTTTATAATTATAAAATATGTCATTAAAAATATTCATAAAAAGTCTGTAATTAATAATAAAATAAAATAAATAGAAAAAAGTATCATTCTTTAAAGTGTATCATATAAAATGGGACCAAAGAAATATTTCTAGATCTAAACTAATTGAAGTTACTAGATATGATTTGGACTAGTTTCCATTATATTCTAGATTTCTATCTGTGCTAAATTCACATATATTCCAAGAAATTTAGTTATTTTTTAAAATAACTTTTTTCATGTGGATTTATAAGCAATTAGTGGAAATTATCAAAAAATCGGCATAATTCAACCATGGTAATAAGTTACATATTTTTTCTAAGTTATCAGTTTAGTAAGATATAGTTATATTTTATTATTTGAATAACGTGATAATATAAAAAATTAATAATATTCTGATATAAAATTAAAACCCCTAATAAATTTAGAAAATACATGCACTTAAGCTCTTACCGGTTACTGTATTTAGTTAACGGTATAAATTGATCCCAGAATAAATTTATATTTTCAACCAAACATGGTACTTCCTTCGGTCCAATAAGTGACCAATTTGCGTTGGATACACCCATTAAGGAAATACTAAATTTTAGACAAAAATAGTTAGTGTGACTAAATTACCCGTAATTAAATTTTGTAACATAATTTAATGTGAGGAGTAAAAGACTTTTTAGGGATACGTACATAAGGGTAATTTTGGAAAAATAAATTGAATTTTTTATTGATTATATTAATGGACACTTATTTTGGATCAAAATAAAAAGGCAAATTGGTCATTTATTGTGGACCGGAGGGAGTATAAATTTAATTCTAGACTAATCCTGAATATCCCAAACTTATACCATCAAACTTGAAATTATTTTATCTCACCTTCCAGATAAATAAATTAGCCTAAAAATTATAATTTCAGAACTATAATCTCAAAATAATTTAGTTTGCGTACCAAAAAACCCTTTACGCATCTTGTTAATGTTTATTTGGAAGTATATTGTGAGAACAAAAGTAAGTTTTCCTACTTCCCTTCCTCTTACTGCCATTTATTTTTTCCTTAAATATTGAAAGGTATATATTGTTTCCCTTAAATATTAAGCCCCACTTGATCAAAATTGAGGATTTTTGCAGATATATATATGTCCCATCCAATATCTCTTTAATTAATTAAAAAGGGATCCAATCTTTTTGCATCTTCACATGGGTTTTCCGTAATTTTCTCAAGATGTAAGGGCACTCAATGAGTCAGGCATCAGATTTCAGAGCAGAGTTGAACTGCAGCAGGGGATGATGAGTAAAGCCTTTATCCAACGGATGTTAGGTAATTGTTTCCAGTTCTATATTTGGTATTTGTATTGGCCTCCCAAATGAAATTAATTAAAGGTAAAGTGCTCTCTATGATATTTTTTATTTATAAGATTTGAACTCGATACTTCTTATTAAGAAAAAATATTTTATTTATCGGAAAAGGACTAAATATACTCTTCTACTTTCAAATATTGTTTACATGTACCCCTCGTTATATTATTGGGTTATCTATACCCCTACCGTCATACTATTGGGTTATCTATACCCCTACTGTCATACTTTGAAACAAAAATACCCCTATTTTGAATGGAGTGTCAGTGGCAACACCAGATTAAAACGACTCATTTCCTTTTTTACCCGACCCCTTTTTAAAAAAACCCACAACCCGACCCCTATTTTCATTTTTTTCCAGTTTTTTTTTAAAACTTTTAAGTTTTAAAAAATGAAAATATTTTGTTAAAAAACAAATATATTTCTTTTTCTGTTTTTACAAATTTGTTTTTCCAGTTTTTACAAAACAAAATTCTTCTAAAATACTGAAAAAATAAAAAAAAATATTTTTCAAAAACGAAAATATTTTGTTGAAAATAATTTTTTCAGTTTTTAAAAAAGAAAATATTTTGTTAAAAAACAAAAAATATTTTTTTTCTGTTTTTACAAAAAAAGTTCAGTTTATACAAATTTGTTTTTTCAGTTTTTACAAAAAGAAAATCTTAAAAAAAAACTGGAAAAAAAAATATTTTTCAAAAACGAACATATTTTGTTTTAAATATATTTTCACTTTTTAAAAAACGAAAATATTTTGTTAAAAACTGGAAAAAAATCAGTTTTTACAAATTTTTTCAGTTTTTACAAATATGTTTTTACAGTTTTTACAAAAAAAAAAATTGTTAAAAAAACGATTTTTTTCAATTTTTACAATTTGTTTTGCAAAATCTTTTCAGTATCTACTCAGTTTAAAAACACGAAAATATTTTGCAATTTTTTTTTAAGTTTACAAAAAGAAAATTCTTTAAAAAAACTGAAAAATGAAAATATGGTTTGGGTTGTGGGTTTTTTGTAAAACGGGTTGGATAATAAAAAAAAGAAATGGGTCATTTTAATCTGGAGGTAAACAATATTTGAAAGTAGAGGGGTATATTTGGCCATTTGCCGTTTATTTATTCTATCATAACTCTGGTACTATTAACACTGATTGTTCACACAAAATCATGTAATCTAACTTTAGCAATTAAAAATTAACATGGAATGTCTTTAAAGTGATAAATGGGTATATGAAAGACACATATTTTGCGTTCATTGACTTGTGTAACTGTCGACTACGAGGGAAAAAGCATTTCGCTTTTTTTAATTTTTTTTGCACAAATTCAAATTAGCTGGATAAGTTACAGCTCGTTTGTTCTACCATGAGGAATTTACACTGGTCACATGTTGCTGAGCCTGATTTGTTCTCCCATGATGAAGGCTATTATATTATTAGATTTCAAACTGTTGTAGATGCTCGAGAAATACTATGTGTTGGTCCTTACTCAATCAATCACTAATAAGCCTATCATCCTAAAACCATGGGCTCCTGACTTTGATTTCATGGAAGAATTCCCTACTGTTATACCATTGTGGGTCAAATTTCCTAAGTTGCCTATGTCATGTTGGGGAGTTGGCTCCCACACCAGAATTGCTAGTGTGATTGGGACCCCTGTATTTGCTGATGAGTGCACCACTAAGCAGACTCAAGTATCCTTTGCTCGAATGCTTATTGAAGTCAATGTTACAAAAGAATTGCCAACTGAAATTGTGGTTATGGACCCTATTGGGAAGAAATTTCGGCAAGATGTTACCTATTACCGGAAAACCTGCCTATTGTGACAAATGCTTGGTTGTGGGACACAAGTGTTCCAACCAGCCACGACCTGTGATGCAGCAGCCCATCCAGACTAGGAAAGCAAGGAGTAACAAGGTGGTCATACGGGAATGGAGAACCAAATGACCTATACAGAATGCACATGGTCCTCAGAATATAACATCAGCTGAGAATCAACAGCAACTTGGCAATATAGTGGAGGTTGTAGATCAAAGAGGCACAATAAAGGCACTTGATCCTAAGAAGACCAATAATCAACACAACATGGTACTTGTAGCTGAGAAGCAGGATGACAAAGGTAAAGCAGTGCAAAGCCCTGAACTTAACTTCATCAACTTTCCACCTTTGACTCACATCCCAGTGAAGAATAGGTTTGAAGTTGTATCAACAAGTAGACATGGAGAACACATGCCACCTGGGAATAGAGGTGGAACTGCTAACCAACAATGATGAATTGGTTGTTCTGGAACATTAGGGGTGTAAATAAAAGGTACAAAAAAAAAGAGATTAGAGAGTATATTAGGGGAAATAAAATCAAGCTAGTGGGACTTGTAGAAACTAAAGTAAAGGACGGGAATGCTCAAAGGATATCAAAAGATAATGTTCCTGGATGGAGTATACTCACAAACTATAAAAAGGCTAGGAATGGAAGAATTTGGTTACTATAGTATACTAGTCACTTGATTATTACTGGTATTAAAGATGATGCTCAAATGATACACTGTCAGGTAAAAAGTAGAAAGGGTGATATAGATTGTTTTCTCACTGTAGTGTATGGATACAACGGGCTGGAACAAAGAAGATCTCTTTGGGATAATCTACAACTACTATCATTAAGCATAGCGGTACCATGGTTAATAGCTGGAGATTTCAATACAGTACTATACCCCAATGATAGATTATCTTGTAATCCAGCAAGCTACTCAGAAATTCAAGAGTTTGCTGCCTGCCTCCAACATATAACATTGACAGAACTACTTTGGAAGGGTGACTATTATATTTGGTCTAATAAGCAGCCTGAAGTAGACAGAGTCAGCAACAGATTGGATAGAGTTTTTGGCAATTACGAATGGATGATGTCCTGGGGTCGTGTGGAAACTAATTATGGATTGCCTCAAATTTCAGACCATACTCCTATGTTATTAACACTATCATCTTCAACATGGACTGGTAGAGTGCCTTTCAGATTTTTCAACATATGGGCAACACATGAAGATTTCTCTCAAATAGTGGCTAGCATATGGAATTCTTATAGTACACAGGGTACTTTGAAATTAGTTTGGACAAGTTTGAAAGACCTAAAACCTGCTTTGAAAGCTTTAAACTCTAGGAAATTCATGGGCATCACTTAGAAAATTGAGAAGGCTAGAATGGATCTGAGGACTATCCAAGAACAGATTTCACTGAATTGCAATGATGCTTTATTAGATATGGAGAAGAAAACACTACTCAATTTGGAGAAATTATCCTTAGTTGAGGAAAGTGTCCTGCAGCAGAAAGCTAGAGCAAGATGGATATACTTGGAGACTCCAATTTTAAGTACTTCACAGCAGTAATGAAGGATAGAACTCAAAGGAAGCAGATTACAGAAATCACAACACTACTAGGAGACAAGTTGACTGACCCTGAAGCCATCAAAAGAGAGATAGTGGATTTCTATAAAAGACTAATGGGATCAGTTGCCACTTCTTTGCCTGCCATCAACAAATCATACATGAAGAATGGTCCTACATTGCCTCACCGACAAAGAGTTGATCTATGTGCAGAGGTAACTAATCAAGAGATTGTTGAGAGTCTTAAAGCAATTGGTGATGATAAAGCTCCAGGTATTGATGGATTTAATGTAGTTTTCTTCAAAAAAGAATGGGACATTATCAACATGCAGATCACGGATGCTATAGAGAAATTCTTCTCAACCTGAAAGATCTATAAGGCAATAAACTGCACCATTGTTACAGTAGTTCCTAACGTGACTAAGCCTACCACGGTCAAAGAATATAGACCAATAGCCTGTTGTTCAATCCTATACAAGATGATCTCTAAGATCTTGGCTTCTAGATTGCAGAAAGTCATGTCATTCATCATATGTGAAGCTCAAGCAGGTTTCATACCTGGTAGAAAAATTGCTGACAATGTTATCCTAGCCCATGAACTAGTTAAATCCTATACTAGGGCTCAGATATCTCTTAGGTGTATGATAAAGATTGATCTCCAAAAAGCCTATGACTCAATAGAATGGATCTTCTTACAACAGGTGATGGAGGAGATTGGTTTTCCTGATAGATTTATCAAATGGATAACGGAATGCATCAAGACAGTCAACTATACTATCCTGGTGAATAGAGAAACCACAGAACCTTTCAATGTTGCTAAGGGTCTTCGATAAGGAGATCTTATTTCCCCCTTTATATTTGCAATAGTGATGAAGTACTTGAGCAGATCATTGCATGAGCTTAAGGAGGAACCTACATTCCACTATCATCCCAGGTGTAAGAAACTGGACAAAACTCATATGAGTTTTTTTTGCAGATGATCTCTTGTTATTTGCCAAAGGTAGTCTATCCTCAGTTGTCACATTATACAAATGCTTCTCTCAGTTCTCTGAAGCATCAGGTTTGCGGGCTAATTTGGGTAAAAGTTCAGTGTATTTTGGAGGGGTAAAACAAGATGTGAAGGAACAGATTTTGGACCAGCTGTGATTTGAACAAGGATCCTTGCCCTTCAAATACCTAGGCATTCCTTTATCTACAAAGAAAATAGCTCTCATACAATGGCAGCCTTTGATTGAAAAAATCATAGCCAAGATATCTTCATGGACTGCTAAAAAGCTATCTTATGTAGGTCGTGTGCAGTTGGTTTAGTCTGTTATTTTTAGCATTCAAGCTTACTAGGCTCAATTGTTCATCTTTCCTACTAAGGTATTGAAAATGATTGAGGCACTCTGCAGAAGCTACATATGGTCTGGAACTAACACAATAACCAGGAAGGCATTAGTTGCATGGGAAAATATATGTACTCTGAGTCAGCTGGCGGACTTAATCTCATAAACCTATCTCTGTGAAACAAAGCAGCAATTGCCAAAATATGCTGGGACTTAGCTCATAAACAGGACAAACTATGGATAAGGTGGATCAATGCTTACTACATCAAACAGCAGCATCTACAATATATGTCAATACCTCAACAAGCAAGTTGGATGGTGAGAAGAATTATTGGTTCAAGAGTTATCATGTTACAGGCTCAGAACTTAAATGATCACAAAAAGAGCATTATCATACAAATATACCTACAACTGTTAGGAGATTTGCCAAGAGTGAGCTGGAAATGTCTAGTCTTTCACAACTCTTCAAGACCAAAGGCAGTCTTCACCATTGTTGATACTCAATTTGTCCCTATGTATTTTTATACTCAAATACTTTCAAAAATAGCATTTGTATGCATATAAAAGCATGCCCAAGAATTTTGGTAATTTTCCCTAATTTTTAAAGATTTTAAAATCGATTTATTGCCCATTTTGGCTATACAAAATCAGTAATTATCCCCAAAAAATTACCCTTTTTGTGATTAACCTATTTTATTCCCATATTTACACCAAAATATAATTAAGGTAGTTTTTGCATATTTTTACGAATTTATTTGGTATTTTTAAAGCTAAAATTGCATGTAATTGCAACTTTAGCCTATTTTAAGATTAACAGCATTTTTGCAATTATGAGATTATTTCCAGTATTTTTTGGATTAATATTTATATATTATTAAGTAGTTCAGTGCTTTTAATTTGATCTTAAAATCATTATTTCTATTTATGAAAAAATAAAAAGGTAAAACTGGCTATTTAAAAGCTAGCCTCATTTCATTTCAATCACAACCATTTGGTATTCCAATTTTAGCCTAAATTAACCCCCTAACTGACCCAATTTCCAGCCCAATTCCGGACCAGCCCAATCCCACTTAACCCCAACCATTAACCCGTCTATATTACCCGACCCAAACCCCTTTTAATCTAGGCCGTTGATCAACCTGCTCAACGGCCACGATCACTCCTTACCTTTTTTAATCCCCCAACCCTAACCCAACTCCCTCATTTCGACCAGGCAACCGCCTCTGAATACCCTCCCCCTCTCAAACGCTCTCGAATGTTCCTGAAACCCTAATCGCCTCCACCCTCTTCAACCTCCGACTCACCGGAATCCATGGCATCTCAGGCCATGGACGACCTATACTCACCTCCTATTACCCTCATATGCCTGATACTTGAAGGTTAGAGGCCAGACCTCGAAGACCTTCACCCAGGCCTTCGCCGATTCAAGGTTTCCGCCCATCTCCGGCCCTGCTCCGGCATATCCTAGCCTCCTGAGTCTGATTCCGACCTTATCCGACTTAGATCGGACCTTTTCCAAGCCTTTCTCATCCTAGGGTTCCTCTGAAACCCTAACCCTACGAGGTTTTCTCCGATTCTTTTTAGATCCGTTGTGTATCTATGCTATACTTGAACTTTTAAACGATTTCCCTAAATTTTCCTTTGAAAATTACTTTCAAAACCCTTCTTTTCTGATTTAGGGTTTTCTGGAAAATGTTTAAGAGCTTTTTATGATTTTTCTTCTTTGTGTTTGCCTCTGCTGTGTCCTCGTATCATCTTTTGCATGCTTCCCTTACTGTGTTTTCTATACTATTGTCTTGTAGATTTTTCTACTGTATTTTAGCATGTTCTTATATGTTTGTCATACGCTTTTCTGCTATATCTTTTCCGGCGATTCTTGTGTTTTTCTACTTGCTAAGTTCTTATGGTTCTTTGTCTGCCTTCTACTGAGCCTTGTTTAGGGTTCTTCTAAGCATGTTTCTCCTGTTGTTCTTATCAATATTTGCCATTGTGTGCTTTGAATCCTTCTACTGTGATTGCATGTTGCTTTACTATACATGTTCTGATCTAATTGCTTGCTCTCTTTTTGTGATTTGCCTGAACTAGGATTCTTATTTCAAAACCCCCAACTCTTTTAGGATAATTTCGGAGTTTCATATGATTCTGACTTTTGATAAACTCTTCAAACTCCAAAACCCAATTCCCAAAAGGGAAGAGAGTTGTCCTCCCAAATGTCGTAAACCCGATTTCGCCTTTTAAAGAAAAAGGGGGCTTTGACAACCATGTGGTTGTTACTTCATGGAAAACTGCCTACTAAATTGAGGGGAAAAGTCAGAGAAGTCTTCGTGGTGTACCAGGCAAAATCACCGTTTGTGACTAATGGTAGGTGATGCGGGTGAGAGGAATTTTGAGATTGAGCATCGTGTTTTCAGGGAATGGGAGAAGAGAATGGCATGTATCAAAGTAGAGAGAGAAAGAAAATAGTGTAACTCAATAGCGTATTTAGTGGCTTAGGGGAGGAAGTAACCAAAATTAGATATTTTGCTATAAACATTAAAATGTATCTATAGAATAAAATTTTTTTAAATGGTATTTATTTAAAATAAATAAGGTGTTAACCTTTGCTATAGGAGGTAAAAATTCCTTAAATAAAGGTTTTTTTTTTCTTGTTGAGCTCCCACATTAGTGGGTCAAGGGCAATTTGGTCTTTTACATTTTTAATTAATCCTTATCTCTAATCTAAAAAATATAACCAAGTTCATTTACTTATCAATTCTTTTGGAAAAAAGATTTAGGAAAAAATGTAGAAGTAATAAAGTACATAAATTAAAGAAAAGAAAGTAGAAATCGCTTTCGAAAATCTTTGAGAAAATGACCTGGCGACAAGGAGAAGATCTTATTCCTGTTTAAATCACGTCAATGTCAAGTTTTCTTGACCTAAATTGCGTTATAAAAAAAACCCAAATCCTTGTAGCTCTTTCCTTTTTCCTTTTTATTTTACTTTTAGCCTTCTAGCCCTTCTTTTATCTTTTCTTGTTTAGGTGGGGGTAAAGAGAAGCTTTGTTTTTTTTTTTTTTTTTTTGGTTTCCCACCCGGTATCCGGTACCCGCATTGGAGCCCGACTATATCCGGATTCGCGCCGCGTAGGGCCCCTTTCGGGCGAAGTGCTTCCTACCAAGGATTTTTTCATACCCAGGGCTCGAACTCGAGACCTCTGGTTAAGGGAGGAGCAGTCTCATCCACTGACACTAGTATTCTAATTTCGGAATAAAATTTGAACTTAATACTATTAATTAAAATTGATATAAATTTTATATTAACAATTTAAAATTATCTATCTCATATAAGATGTTGATTATAATTCCATTATTATTTTTAAAAAATAAAAGGTATTTGTTTAGTCTCACATTGGCCTTTAACAGATTGCACCATATTCAATAATTGAATGGAGAAAAAAAAAATCTTTTTTAAAAAAGGTACTATCCTTTCCTT